TTTCTTTATTTACAGAATGTGCCACTGCAGTTGTACCTCCAACTCAATGATTGGTAGGAGGACTATTTTTTTCTCTAAAGGTTTTATTGCTCTTTGAACTGTGAATTCTAGAACAGAGTATCCTTTATTTAGATACAAGGAATGCACAGGACTAGGGGCAAAATATAACAATAGTTAAGTCACCATTAAAGAGTCACCACAAAGGATCAAAGTTAAATGTCCTTGGGGGAAAAGAGTCACACCAAGATGCCAAAAAAAAATTACGAGAATTTCAAACAGTGAGGAACTTAGTCACTGAGTGTCCTTTGCATTAAAGAATCAAAGACTGAGATTGGAGGCTTCTTCAAAAGCGACACAGAAGTGGGAAGAAGACAGAGGGAGAAGGGAATCTGAAATAAGCAAAACATCCAGAGTCCATAGGTTACTCAAACCACACAGGTATTCTTAAGAAAATATGTTTGTGGCTCTGGTGATATCAACAGAAAGAAGTACAAGCTAGGGAAGACAAAATGTTATGCTGTAAAATAATGAGACAGACAACAAATAAATCAAAATCATTTGAATATCTTTTTCATTGTCCTGCTTCTGTATAATTCTGTGGTACAAATCTCCATGAAGGACCTTGTTAGGTTCAAGTCACCCTTTGCTCAGAAATTACATGAAGCAGAAATAGAAAGGATGCAGCTTAGAAAGCTATTGAAAGACACAAAGAAGCCTTTGTTTTTTTCATATCCTTAGCTGGCAGTAAAACTTACACTGAAACATCAGAAAAGAAAGAGACCATGTAGAAGCAAAGCAGTTGCTTTGGAAGCTGCATTTCTGTCTCTAAATCTGAACAGTGAATCATGATTTTTTATGATATTTAGGAGACTGCAGTTGCTGAAAACAGATCCATGTACATTTTAAACATCAATCCTGTGACTCTGGATTTATTTCTGTTTCAGCACAGAAAAACTAGATGTGCGCTTAGGGTATGATCTGTGCCAAGAAGAGCAAGAATTCTTACAAAAAAGGAAGAGAGTGGTTGCCAGTGCCCTGAAAAAGGTCCTTCATCTGGAAAGAGATCTACATGGACATGAGGTCTGTGAGTTGGAATCCAAGCATGGGGTATGGGTCTATTGAATTAGGAAATTCCCCATAAAATTTCTAGTACTTTTTTGCATGTTGATGACAAACCCACTGATTTGAATGGCAACAGAACAGAAGTTCTCAGTGTGGCATACCCCATACTCATCTAGAATTCAACTCAGCTATTCATGCCTACATTCTTTTCCATGAGTCAAATTCCCAAGGACATAATATACCACGCTTCAAAGCCAGTTTCCAACAGTGTGATGCAGTGGGTCAGCAAGATAGGAGGCACTGGTTCATTGCGTTAGAAACAGTCTAGCCAGACAACCCCAAACCAAGTAGGAAAAAAGAAGTATTTCAAATTCACCTCATGTAGTTATTTATGAAACCATTGTAATGTCCCTTCTTTAGGCTTACCCTTTTTTTCAGTTTCAGAACACTTTTCACAAGAAGCCAAAATTCTTTAGGGTGAAGAAGGAGCAGTTTATAACAAGCTCCAGCTGAAGTATGTTTTGTTGCCGAGATCCAGGGTGAATTTTTAAGTGAACATTTATTTCTTGCTGGAATTATATTTGTTGAATGGAAGCTGTCCAAAGAATAATTTTGTTTGCTTATTATATTTTTTCTGAACTCTGTGCAGGATTTCCTTGAATCCATTCTTAATTACATTTATTGCAATTTTTGTTATTTGTAATAAAATCATATCATTATCTGTTGTTAATCATTGCAATTCCAATTATAAAGAACAAGAGGAGGAAGGAAGGTTAAAATCACTGCATATTCAAACTCATCCAAACTTTGAAGTTAAGGGAACCCACTGGATATCTGGAGGTTAATTTAAAGAAGGTACTGGCAAAGACTGACTGAATGTTGATTTAATTTCATTGTCCTCCAATGAAGTCTGCTGAGGAAAGAGCTGTAATTAGACTTTTCCAAGTAGGCAAGTGAGTAACTTTTTAAAGAGAATCCTTATGTTTTGAACAGGTCCCAGTAATAGCTGTTATGGCAACAGGTGGAGGCCTCAGAGCAATGTCAGCTATGTTTGGCCACCTCTTAGCTCTTCAGAAGCTAAATCTGTTGGACTGTGTTACCTATCTTACTGGGGCTTCTGGCTCGACATGGTGCGTATAGAAAATTAGATTTGTATTTGGAATGACTATGACACTACATTTCCACACAGTGAGAGAGACGCATCTCTTTCAAAGTCTTACATTGTTAATAAGTGAACATAATTCCCTGGTAAAGCTATTACTGTTGTCTCTTGATCATAACTTCAGTTTAGGCTTGCTGATTCTCTTCTTTGATGAAAGTGGCTGGATAAATATAGTAATTTTCCAAAATAATCCACATAAATGGATGGTTTTCTCACATTCCTCTTCCTTAGGACCCTAGCAGACCTATATGAGCATGCTGACTGGTCACAGAAGACTCTGGAGGGGCCACTTAAGGCAGTAAAAGAACAAGTGACGAAATGCAAGCTCAACCTTATGTCTATAGAGCATCTGAAGTATTATCACAAGGAACTTGCTGAAAGGGCAAAAGCAGGACATGTGTCATCTTTTACAACTCTGTGGTCACTTGTTCAGGAAATGTTCTTACATGAACGGGTATGTACATGGTTCTACCACACATTTGGGAAACACTCATTTTCTTTAGAGCTTTACTCCTTGGGTGCATGACGTAATGTGTGGAACAAATCCAAAGTGACTGAGGCATCCCAGTGTGATTTGTTAACAATGACAGAGGATCATAGCATTATAAAATCATAGAATAATCTGGGTTGGAAAGGACCTTTTAAGGTCATCTAGTCCAACCCCCCTGCAATGAGCAGGGACATCTTCAACTCGATCAGGTTGCTCAGAGCCCTGTCCAACCTGCCCCGGAATGTTTTCAGGGATGGGGCATCTACCACCTCTCTGGGCAACCTGTGCCAGTGTTTTACCACCCTCATTGTGAAAAATTTCTTCCTTATATCTAGTCTAAATGTGCCCTCCTTCAGTTTTAAACCATTACCCGTTGTCCTGTTGCAACAGGCCCTGCTAAAAAGTCTGTCCCCATCTTTCTTATAAGCCCCCTTTAAGTACTGAAAAGGATCTTGTAGCCAGGATTTTCCAGGGCAGTTAATGGTTTGGCAGTGCCTCTGTACTAGGGTGCACAAGAGCTAGCAACTTCAGTAGGCAAACTTTCTGAAAGAACTCAGCAATCCCCCCTGAAAAGTCAGGTCTTTTAAAGTCTGTTTCTAGTTGGACACTTAAGAGCTAGAGTGATCTGTCCTCATGTGAACATTAGTCTCAGCCTTAGTAAAGATTGTGGGATGCAGGCAATCAAGGCCCTTAGACATTAATGAAGAGCTTACTAGGTATCCAAAAGGCAACCAAGAAGGAAAGTGTAGGAACATGAAGGAAGAGGTCTCCTAAAAATGTGACTCTCAGATTCCTCTGGATTGTAAAACATCTGTTGTCTATCCATACTCAGGTAGATTGTGTCAGTGGTTTTGCCTTATGTTCTTCCAGAGTTTTACTGTGATTTCTTTATCTCTTTGATTAGCCAAGAAAGTACAAACTCACAGACCAGCGCAAAGCATTGGAGCATGGACAAAACCCATTGCCTTTCTATGCAGTCCTCAATGTGAAAGAGGAAAAGTTCAGTACTTTCAAATTTAGAGGTAAGTATTTCTAGAGTTTCTTCTGACTCTGAGTAGGGACTACAGAGAATTTGGAGGGAGGGTGCATGTGTGTGGAGAATAAAAGGGCAATACATCTCTTGCTTGCCCTGGCTATGAAATGCACCTATGAAATGGCTTTGATGGTTCCTTAGTTTGTAGAGGTGCTGTGAAATGTAATTGTCACTTCCCTAAATACTACACTGATGAGGGTATGAAAATGGAGTGGAGTATGATTGCTGTGATGGGTGTGATATGACACCCTTTAAATGGACACAGGCTACATTCAACAAAAGGTATTAAACTGAGCAGATACTGGAAGGAAAAAACAGTACTTACATTTGTTTAGGTTTATAGTTACTGTTCTACTGCGATACATGTACAGGACAGCTTGAGTCAGGAAAATGCATGACCATGCCCACACTATGACACTTTCTAGTTTGGAGCTGATGTGTCTTCATGCTGCTTTATTATATTATGTGGACTGACAGGTTTGGGTTAGTAGAGGTTTCGTGCCATTCATTCCTTGCAGATTGGATCATACTTGCACGTTGTGCATCTGATGCTCTTGATTTAGAGGGGCAAGTGGGATTCCAGAATCTTTATACAGAAATATAAATCTAAGCTTTTGAAGCTAACGTTAATCTCTTTCTGAGGTGAAAAACCTAGTTCCTTTTGTATGCAAATCATATCTCAGTTGTATGGAACTAGGCAGTGTAGTTTGCAATACAGAGCTACTGATAGTACAGAGCTGCTGAGACAAGCAAGACCAATGGAGCTTGTGGGTAGCTTTAACCATGGGGGAAGGTTTTGTTTTCTTATTTTGATTACAGTAAACATGCCATATGTCAATTCTTTTGTAGAGTGGGCAGAGTTCTCTCCTTACGAGGTGGCCATACCAAAATATGGAGCCTCCATTCGTTCAGAATATTTTGACAGTGAGTTCTTCATGGGAAGGCGAGTGAAGAAGCTGCCAGAATCTCGAATCTGCTATCTGGAAGGTGACCTAGCAGTGCAATATAGTTAATCACAGCATGACAGAAAGCATAGTACTAGCTAGCCACTGGTCTGTGTACAACACTCCTTGCCAGCAGGTCTGCTCTAGGTTTTGAGTCAATGGGCTTTTCATCCCTTTTGTACACTTCTTCTTCTTTCCTCCTGTCCTCCCTTTTAACCTGGGCAGATTTGGGAAAATTGCAGCATGGTTCCCCTTCCCATCTTCTGAACCAAACAAGAAAATGGAGAAGGCAAGTTGAGGAAATAACAAGCTTTTCTTCCCTAATCAGTCATCAACTCTTCAACTTCACCAACTATACTTCTAGGCAATGCATTGCTGGGGTAGAATTGGAAGGAGCTGAAAATAAAATGTAACTCATCTAGAAAAACCCACAAAGGTGAGAACCATCTGAGCTTTGTGGGTTGAGAATGGTGTCACTAATCATCCCTGCCCATAAGGATGAAGGAAGGACAACAACTGCTTTGGCTGGCAGTTCTACCTCTAAAGGCGAAGAAAAGGGGAAAAGCAGTCAGTCAGAGTAATCCATCTGCCTCAGACAGATTTTAAATCCTTGTCAGAATTTTAGCTTTTGATACCAAAACCAAGGGTCCGGTGGAGGCAAAAACTATATTTCTCTCACTGTGAAGTCTGCTAGAGATTGAATTTGTTCCTCATGTGAGTACCTGGCCTGGGTCTTAATGACAAAGGATAGTATTCTCTTTTCCAAAAGCAGACTCGCATATGGAGTCAATTCTATTTTGATCCTGGACCAGTTGAACTCCACAGAAACAAAACATGTCTGAAAGGAAAAAATGTGTCTTAGATCAATTTAAAGAATAAATCAGTTTAAAGAAGGACCTTATGTTTATATGGCTTCACTATGCTTTCAAAGCCTGCTTTCTTTCACAAGTACACAGTAAACACTCTAAAACATCACCTGGGTGACTGATACATGTTATTTTGTCACTCTACTCTACAGTGAATGGTCTGTGTGTAGTTATTCTTGAGAAAGAGCACTGAAGTGCTGACACCATTATGTTTGGACTCTGTGAGACCTGCTGCTTAAGCTGTGTCATGACAGGGTCAGTTCACGTGGGCCAATAATATGTAGCACAGATACTTGTAATAGTCAGTGGTTGACGTGTGGTGGTGCAGTATTTTTCCCATGTGGTTTGACTTGCAGGTCTTTGGACAAACATCTTTACTAGGAATTTGCTGGATGGCTTGTACTGGTCCTCAAATTCAAATGAATTCTGGGAACGATGGGCCAAAGATATGGTAGATATAGGTAAGAGTTTCAAAATCAGTAATTGTTTTTGACGAGGCAGTGCTTCCTATTCAGGAGAGGATTAAGAAAGATACACTATTGCTACTGTTTGTGAATAATCTCTCACATGTTCTCCCTAAATTGCTGCATGTTGTGTTGCGTCACTGTGGATCTTCCAGCATGATTTTCACCTGTATCAGGGTGGTCACTATGTGATGTTTTCATCTTATTTTATTTTATTGTTAACCCAGAGGCACACTTCATGCTAGTTACAAATGTTTTAATTTCAAATTTGCTCATGGTCTGTTACATGACTGCAAATGAGAAGGGTGGCTTTTACTTGTAGGCAAAAGTACAAAGCCAGTGTGTCATTTGAAAGAATAAAAGACAAAAGCTGTGCTTGCTTTAAATAAAACCAAGTATCTCTTTGTTTAAATGGGGTTGGTCATGTGCATATGTTTTCAAGCAGACTGCAAGGAACAGAGAGAGGAGGGACCCACAGGAAGACAGCAAGGGCAGCTAGCCAGTAAAGGTGCCTGGCAGAACAGATTACTGATGTTTTTTCTCACAGTTCCTTCTCTATTTCAGAAAAACATTCCCCTGAGGATGATGTCACTGTCATCGAGCCTCCATCTTGTTTGTCAGGGAAGTTGTATGAAATGTTTCAGGACATTATGACCAAGCGTCCACTACTGGGAAAGTCTCATAACTTCCTGAGAGGCTTAGAATTTCATAAGGACTATATCCATCAGAAAAAATTTATTGAATGGAAAGGTAACTGCAACAAAGAGTTAGCTGCAGTGTGCAGGTAACATCTCAGATTTTTTTTTTCTAGACTTTGGAAATCTCATTTTTAAAGATATTTTCTCAGGGTTTGGAAATCTGCTGAGATGGAACTATGTTCATGGTGTCTGTTTCTTTAGGGTAACAGGTTAAAATGAACTAGTCCATGGGCCAGTCTTTCACCTCCTGAAGATATCTGTAATTTGTGTCAGAGCATGCTCTTCTACAGTAAGTTTGTCACTTTGCATAGGTACAGTAGTCAAAAGGTTCAGAAGGGGTAGAATCTTTTGAGGTCAAGAAACAAAGGTAACACCGGAAACATAAAATAGCAAGTTACTATGAGGATCAGATGAAGGAAAGGACGGGCTGCAAGCATGTAGTTGCCCATATATGTGCTAACTCTGCCTGATGATTTATCCATCCAGAGATCTCTAAAGAGAGATCTTTCTGAAGGGTTAAAGAATGCTTCAGAAACAGAAATACCAAGATCCAACAACAGAAACTTAAAGCCACATAGGTTTAGACTGTATATATTAAACAAACAGGGTGCGTAGACTTGATGTATAAACTGAACAGCAGTTTTCTATGGCCTGCGCTCTGTAGGCAGGCAAAGTAAACAATCATGATAGCTTTACCTCAAAATCTATGAAACAATCTATGAAATGATAGCAAGGTGATGGAGCTGAGGTTTTGTGCATCAGAAACCTTCCTGTAACCCCAGCGTCCTCATTTATTCCATGAGCAGGTAGCCATACGGGAGGACCCCACATTACTAAGGTTAATTTGACTTTAGCAAGAAAACATGTGTTCTCTGTCTCCTCTGAGTCCTTCTCTTTGGCAACTTGTGTTTTCTCTCCCCTGTTTCATGCAAGTTACAACACTTTTTGTCCCTGGCTGCCATTGCTATATGGTTTGGTGACAATGGCAAGAGATGGTGGAGATTTTCTGTGGATTAGAGCCCAAAGTGTGCTAATTGCTTTCAAAATATTCAGTAAACAAAAACTCCATGTCCTGAAAGAGTCTGTTCAGAGAAAACCAGTGCGAGAAGGAGAAATCGAGTAGCATAAAAAGGGTGGGGGAGAGAAGGAGCAAGCGAGTAGCTTAAGAAGGTGGCTGAAGGATAAAGTTGTCAGTCAGTAAATGTTAAAAAAAGATTTTTCCTTGTATTTGCTGACTAGCAATTTTGTAAAGGCAAATGGGTAGAAGCAGATTTCAAGGAGGATTTGGAGGAAGAGAGCATAGGGACACCAAAGACTACCTCAGGTAGATATTCTACAAATAAAGTAAAACAAGTGGAAACCATGAAGTCTGTAGTGGGAAAAGGGAAACTGAAAGTCTGGAGTGGGAAAAATTAGAAGATTTTGTATCCTCTTTTGGCTGCCTGCATGAGAACAAGCTAAAACCAAGTTTGGATCCATCTCTAGAAACAAGAGGAGATGCCAGCTCTGTGAGCAGAAATTATAGTCTTGTAGTAGGTGAAGTCTTCAAAATGTAGCTGTGTTTTAAAGGTCCCTGCAGCTCAGGTTATCTGACACATTAAAACAAGACTATAAATGCCATGTGAAAAGCCTAATCTTCATGGTGAGAAATTTGAGAACTCATAGCCAGGAATTAGTGTAATGCATTTACAGTAGGATAAATGCTTTCAAGGGAATTCCTGAGGGAGGACTTCTTTAAAGTCCCTTTTTGGGTATGGGATGGAAGATGAGACTGTCCCCAGGGAATGTCTACTTCCAATTCACATACCCAGCCATGAATAAATGCTGCACAGTTCCATCTCCATGATAAGAAAATGGGGGTAACAGAATTTCAACTAAAAATACTCAGCAGGCCAAATAAAACTAAAAAGTATGCTCTGTTTCTTCTGTGAGGGACTGCAAGCAAATGTCTCTCATTACAGCAGAATCTGTGAATTCCCAGCAGCCATGAATGCTAAAATAAGCAAATAATTTTGTAAAGACCTGACAGTGAGGGAATGGAAAAAAATATGAGGTATTACTTCAAGCTGCTGTCAAACATTCCAGGCTATGGAACAAGCCGGAGTTATTCTGCGCAGTTTAAATCAACGCTACAGAATGAGGCCAAGGAGGCAGAGGGATCAAAAGAAGTGAAATGCTGGAACTTACCTGCAGTATTTCTGTGATCAACAGTTTCTTAAAATACCTAAGCACAAATGATTTAAGGCTCAAGAAGTCTGCTCTGGACTTTGCTTCCTCATTTTGTGAACTTGAGGAACACTCTTAAACCATTATTTTGATATTTAAAATCATGGCAAAATGTTTCTTTTTCCAGGGGAAACAATAGTGGACTTGCTGTCTACAGGGCAGGGTGGTGGGGTTGCTAGCAGAGAAATAAGAGTCTAGCTATCAGAAATTGGCTTTAGATCTCAACTTGCCAGTTGGTATAATCCCCTTTTGGCTCCTTTTGGTGTTGATGTGAGGGTACGTTAAAAAATACTAAAGCAATATTTTAAGCTGTTGGTAGGGGATGGTGTGTCCATGATGTGGTGTTTTTTTTCAGCATGGCTAAGATAATTTATATGAGACATCACTGAAAGCAGGTTGAAGTCAGATTTTTCACCCTGGGAGAGGAGTCTAATCCTCAGAATGCAAAAGCAAAAAAAGAGCAATGCAAAAGTGCAGTGATGTACTGCATTTGTTAGATTTGTTGCTACGCTCTGAAATTGTTTTTGTTGTTTGCATTTTTCCCAGTTCTTAGGGGAAAAAGAAAATCTGCTAAAGTCTGTATTCTGTGAAAAATCACTCCCCAGAGCAGCTGCGAGGCCAGTGGAGTCTCACGGCCAGCTTTTGGGAGTGTGCCTGGGGGCGTGTGGTAGCAGGCCAGAGATGCTCAGACGTGCAGTTTGGAGGGCGTGCTCCTGAGGCCATGTTTGTGGGCTCGCGTTATGGGGGGAGGTGAGCCTGGTCTTGAGGGCAACCAAAGGGCTGCCCTTAACATGTAGCACAGACAGAATTACTGACTCCTCCTTACCTACCAATGCAGCACTAACTATATTCAAAATGTTTTTCTTTTCCCTAACAATCTGACACCGCTGCAGAAATATCTTTGCTTGATAGATGTTGGCTATTTCATCAACACCAGTGGTGCAGCACTTTTCAAGCCAGAGAGGAATGTAGATGTCATTATCTCACTTGATTATGGTTTGGGGAATGTGTTCAAGGTGAGAAGATTAACATGCTCTGCTCCTTCCAGCCCTGGTAAAACTCGTATTATTAAAACTTTTAAGTAAGTGGCTGTCTAAGTCTTGATCAAGAGCGAACTCAAGAGCAAACCAGTCACCATATCTTGGAGGAGGAAAGAAACTTCCTTCAGGACCGGAACTATAGAAACTGTTAGGCTCTTTCCTCTATAGTGGATTGCAACATACACTTCCTAGGTTGCTCAGGGAATTGCAGTAACAATTGGTCGCTGGAGACATGGCCTTAGTCTCTCCTGGTCTGTCCTCATGACAAATTCCAAATGTGGCTTTTGGTCATTCTCTCTATCTATAAAAAAGGGTGATAAGAAGCATCTTCTGACTTATGGTGAGATGTGGCAAAAGGTAGGGTTATACTGTGGCTACTTTGGACTACACAGTCACTGCAGAGTGATTCTCGGGACTGAATTAAGTTGCCATAGTATTTCTATGATACCTCAGTAAACCTTATTCTTGTCTTAGTGTTAGCTATAAGGCAATGACATTCTGTGTCCACAGCAATTAGAGATGACATACAAATATTGCAAGATACAAAAAATCCCATTCCCCAAAGTGGAGCTAAGTAAAGAAGAAGAGAAGAACCCAAAGGAATGTTACGTGTTTTCGGATGCAGAGGACCCCAGAGCACCCATAGTAATCCATTTCCCCCTGGTGAATGACACCTTTAAGGAATTCAAGGAGCCTGGTAAGTTCAGTCAACAAAGCTATAGTTTTTAGCTGAATCTGGGCCATTTGTCTTTCCACAGCATGGATCTTATTTGTCCTTTGTAGCAACAGTTTTAAGCGAGGGCACAGCCCTTGTGTGAGTGAGACCATCCTGTCTTCTACCCCATACATGTTTATTTGTCTCTTCCACTGGGCTATGAATGAGCATACCCACACATCTGACAGGCCGGATTCAGGTTACTGCATTCAGCTCAAAGTGCATGAGTTTCCAGAGGAGAAGGAGGTGTTAACTCTTTTCCTGTTAACCTAGGAATGTTAACCTTCTCAACAAAACCAGGATTATGTTCCCCGGGTACAGAGTGAAGCTGTATCTCTTATCCAGTAAAACATGATGCAACAGAGGTAGCTGAGGCAAGTCCCCATGTCTCTACTGATTAGCATCCACGTCCTGCTCAAGTGGTAGGTTAGCAAACCACAGCAGACTCACTGATGTTGAGTAAGACACAGGACAGAACAAGGCTTTAAGCCACAACTCACACTGCAAGGCATACCGGAGAAGGCAGCACTTATAATGGTGAAATGTTCGGGAAAAGGTAGGGCCAGAATTCCTCCTCAATCTGGAAGAGACAGAGAAAATCTGCCAACTGCTTCTTCCCTCAACTTCCCCTTATCAATTTAAGGCCTAGCAGTAGGCAAGCAGGCTTGGCACTGATTACATCTCCCATACTCTCATGCCTTTGTGCCAAGCACTATCTAGATGGAGAGAATTAGCAAGTCTCTCCAGCAATAAGAAGAATGATGTTTGTGGCCCAAGAGTTAGACCAGAAGGAATGGGCACGTGGCTGCTAACAGCTGGGTCAGGTAATTCTGGTGTGAACATGCTCAGAAAAATAAATAGTAGTAGGAGGTGGAGGGCATGCAATGTTTAGTTGGCATAAGGGTAAGAAGCATAAAAGTTACTGATCGTCCTACCTTGGCCTAGCCAAGGTGTAGGTACAGCACCGTGGGAGAAGGAGGTTATTTCCTTTACTAAAAGGCAGTGAATAGAAAGAGCTGCCAGAAAAGCTCTGTTAGTCTGTGGTGTACACAAGGGAAAGCCTGTATTAGCTCATAGAGATGGGCTTTGTCCTGTGCATGCTAAAGAGCTTTGTACATGAGTTTGGCAGCCCTGTGCATATGATTAACAGACAGCAGGACCGTTAAGTTTCCCAGATAAAATAGATCATATCCTTTCTCCCTTTTTCCAGGGGATTCAACAACAGGCATGGCTTTGCTATGGGGCCATATGCAGCTGGGTTGGTCCTGTGTGGGGGGCCCAGCAGGGCCTGGGAAGTGGGGTCTGTCCTCAGGTGTCGTCTTTGAATGCAGGCATGAAGTAGCAAAGGCCATGCTAGAACAAGAGATCCTCAGTATAGACTAGGTTTTTCTATCTTGTGGGATACTCTGCAAAAATCAGACAGGTGATATCTTGGTGCCTGTGCTGTCTGACTTCCTTAACTTGAGACCTTCCTCTGTGCTGGAGCTCTTACAGCAATGAATGCTGAAGTTATCTCACACACCACCTTTTGAGTTATCAGGCCATGAGGAACCTCTGCTCTCCCTTTCTACTGCTCAACACAGCAAGACAGAGCATTCACTTTCCTTCCAGCTTTACCCAAAATAATATTGTGGTACTGGGACCACAGCAAAATGGAGGCCTCTGAGGGAACATTTGGGGAAGGTTGTGAATACCAGTGAAACAGGTTAAGTAAGTAAAGCTCCTTTTCTGCTATGATGTTCACCAATGCTCAGAGAATATGTGCAGTAAGATATATATCAATAAAATAACATTTAGAAACTCTATGGATGAACAGAGGAGATACCCACTAGAGGGAACTAGGCTTGTTAGGTGGAGGCTGGAGATGGTCCAAATGGCAGTGTGCAGTGAGATACGGCCATTGAGCAGTGGTTAGCTAGCAGGTAAAACATGTAAATGTTTTAGAGTCTCTCTGAATGAAAGATGGATGAGATTATGCAAAGCAAAGCACCCACTGCAGTTTCTCAGCGCTCCAGGCTCAAATCTGTGAGCTGTGACGCTCACCTGCGTGTCTCTGAGCAGCCGGTGGTTCATCAATCAAGCTGACAGCCAGCAACTGATGTGGGTGGTTGGGGGAGGAGGGACCTTGGCAACCTGCTTGCGTGGATTTCAAGTTTAACAGTGGAGCTTTTCATTTCTAGATGGCTGAGAGACACCTTGTGGAATGTGGGTACTTATTTTTCTTGCTTTTAACTATTTAAATTCTAGAAAAGAGAATCAGCTTGTGAAGTGCCCATTTACAATGCAACTATAGACTCTGCTCTTGTGTGCTTGAGGCACATGCAGCTGTATCCGGATGTGGATAGCACAGATAATATGGTTCTCTGAATACTGGGAGGCTCAATGAATTAAAAAATTTGACATTTTTAATACCGCCACTTGTAGTGACAGCCTGTGCTCAGCACCCTGAGATCATACTGCCCAGAAACCACTAGGTTAGACTAAAACCTGCTATGTCTCAAGCAAAATTCATGTGTCATTTTCACGCAGTTCTGGTAGACATTGTAAGGAGTATCTCAGCAGTCTGTTCGTAGCCCCACTGACGGTCATCTCAAAACATATTTGTGGTTTGGGCTTATTTGGTTCAGACTGTAAGGATATAGGTAAAAGACAGAGAAAAAAAAAGTAACTCTAAACATTTTGTAGAAGCATAAATATGAGGCTGCTGAAATCCCTGGTGGAGGTAATGATTCCTGACAGCCCTGCTGGGGCATTTCCAGGTCTGAGCTTTAGCAGGACAGGGAGGGAGGAGCAGGTGGGAAAGCTGACCAGGAATGGCTCTTTCAAGCTGGGGCAGGGGCAGTCTTTCCTGGAGGCTGTTAACAGTAGATTCTGCCAAGTAGATCAGTCCTCTCCAACACCACATGTTTTGTGCTCCAGATTCAGCTCACTGTGGTGGCTTTTGTCTTTCTCTGCAGGGGTAAAGCGCTGTCTCTCAGAGATGGAAGAAGGCAAAGTAAATCTGGAGAACAACTGCTCACCCTATTACCTCATTAGGCTAATCTACTCCTCTGAAAATTTTGACAAACTCGTGAATCTGAGCAAATACAACATCCTCAATAACAAAGACCTGCTCCTCCAGGCGATCCGGAGTGCCGTAGAACGGAGGAGAAGCGGCAGGACTGGGAATCTCCCCAGCCACTCTGGATCTGGATACCACTAGGCTGGGTTTTTGCACTGTTCCCCACTGAAGGCTACAACAGTCACATTACAACACATCACAGTCACATTATAACATGTCACAGTCACATTACGACAACATCACAGTGCACGTTATTTGCAGGAAACTGAGGAAGCCTGTACATTTCTCATCTTGCCTTGTTCAAGTTCCTAGCTTTCAAAAGGGTTTATTTAATGTCCTTCCCCCCCGACTTTTCAGACTGCAGGAGCCTCACACTGTGGTCTTAATTGTTAATAAATTAGGGTCCTGGTTAGCAGAGACCTTCCAGGATCTCCTCGATGCTATAGAATATGGTGGTGGTGATATAGTGATGGTAGTTCTTTATATGCGCCTGTCCCCTCAATCCTGAGCCCATTGTCGGTGTCTTTTCAATGCTTCGTTACAAACCAAGTCCTGGCCATTTGCATTCAGTAATGTCCAGATTTTCAGATAGGCTGAGCAGCTAGAATTTGCACTGAATTGGTGGGCTCAGCTTTGAAGTCAGGCCAAAGAGTCATATATATCTGTGCACAACGGCCAAACTGCAACGCGGACATTGCATTTTGTCTGGCCGATTCCCCTTGCTGATTTAGAAATTATTCCTTTTTTCCATTCCCCTGCAAGAGTTTGGCACAGAAATGCTGCTCCATACTGCCACGACGGGGGCAGTTACATTTCAAGGAGCGAGGACATTAGCTGCAGAGAGCGAGTATGGTTCTTTTGAGCGTTGGCTGGAGGAAAAATCTGCATAAAGGTATCAATGATTATATTTTTGATTTATACGGGTGGTGCCTTTATGCATTAACATGTCAAAAGCCTGAAGCAAGCTTTTGACACCAGAAACTTGAAGGGAACAACTACCATAGACTTAAGTACGTTTAATTTAATAATCATGACCAAGACATAAGCTGGTGCTCCTTCATGTAAACTGAATGTAGAATAACATAACTTGTTAACAGAGTGCATAGCCATGGTATTTTCACACCCAGAAGATTTTTTTCCCTTTGCAGTGTTCTACCTCTAACATCATAGGCAAGATATTTTTAATAGGTGCTACACTAAAATAGAGCTCAAACGAAAAAGAGGAAATTCTTTATCACACCTCCTTGCTAGAGGAAAATATTTGGAAAAATAACTCCTGGTTTTCATTTGCTTTGGAGTGCAGTGAAAGACATTGCCTTGAACTAGGAGCTTGGAACATCTTTATAGCCCTCCACTATATTAAAAAGATGGTAGAGAAGGTTGGTGAGCAATCCAAAACAGAACTCCACACAAGTCAGAGAAGTTTCCAGACTTCATAACACCAAAGGATTTGGACCTGCTTCTGGCTTATTTAATCCAAACACAGCATATTCATCAGGACCCTCAAGGAAAATCTTAAACATTTCTGCTGTGTTGGAAATTTACTTGATATCTAGAATCAGTTTTACTTGAAATCCAAAATAAGGTGAAGAAAGAGAAACAGGGGCCTGCCTTTTTGGTATATGCAGACAGTACTCAAGCTGAGAGGGAGAGCATTTACAAAAGGCTTCATTGCCTGAACCCTGCATCCACTAAACGCTTCTGCTGCTGCGAGCAGTGGCAAGGAATAAGCCTCAGCAACATTCCTTGTACGATGCTTATTTGCCAAGCTAAGGAACACCACGCAAAACCTGCGGGGTCTTAACAACTGGAATGCAACTGTACAACTGAATTCAGACCATGAGACGATAAGAACTAATCACATACCGGCTGCAAGAAAAAAGCAAAGAGCCATTTTGAGTCGAAAGGTGAGATGGCAGCGGGGGGCTGTCTCAGAAGGGGGGTCCTACCAGCAGGATCTGTTACCTTCATGTAGGAGAGCAGCACGTCCTGGCACCGTATGCCGTGGTGTAGGTATATGCGCACGCAAGCACGGCGGCTGCGTACACACGCGTGCATGGGGCGTGCACTGTTTTCATGCTCCTCTGGCTGGTCCTGTAAGGAAACCCCTTCCTATAACCCGCTTGCACAGAGCAAAATCTGATTCCAGCGTGACTGCGAAGAGGCTGTGTGCTCCCACGTCCTGTGGCCCGCTGCATCCTAACTCAGCTGGGCTCTGGCACTTGGCCCCACAGCCTGTCGGTGGTTGACCCCCCCGCTCGCCTCGGCCGGGCAGCGGGAGCAGGAAGGATGGACAAGGAGTGAGTGACGCCATCGCACTGCCTGTCTCTGTGCTCTCACTGCGCTGGCGCGCTCGCGGCGTCGAATTATTGCTGGCGTCTTCCGGCATTGTGCTAGGTGCAAAGGGCTGAGCTGGAGGAGAGGGCTGGGGGCTGAGCAGCTTGTGGGGAGCCCCAGTAATAGCAGCTGATAGCGGCGTTGCTGCTGCAGTGGTTGAAGGACTCAGCTGGGTGAGGGACGCTGGTGTTCTCTGCCACAGACTGGGATTTCTTTTGACACTGAACCAATATCTAACTGAAGCTGGAAGGCCTGGCCTTCGGGAACAGAGGTTCAGGGCAGCCCCTGCTGAGATACAGCGGATTCGTCAGGAACAAGACCACTAGTGACGTTCTGTAATTGCCTTTCATTTACCTATCGTCCATACTGTAAACGGGAACACCGTTTTACCTCATCTGCCTAATTTTTATGCTCTGCTGCTGCAAAAAGATATCCCTGCTCACGGGCTACAGCGAGCGATCCGTAGCCCTCGTGAACCTTGGCAGCACGTGCCCAGCAGCGAGGCAGCTCAGCCACGCTGAGAAAATCGGGTCTCCCGGAACGCTCCACAGGCCGGTACCTGGGGCCTGTTCGGTGCGTTGGCAGCGT